TGTTCCATGGGTGCGGGAGGGTTCTCCATGGGAAAGTGCGTTATCCACGGGAGTGTGTGCTCCGTGTGTTATCCACGGGAGTGTGTGTTATCCAGGACAGTGTGCATTATCCACAGCAGTGTGTGTTATCCACAGCAGTGTGTGTTATCCACAGCAGTGTGTGTTATCCAGGACAGTGTGTGTTATCCACAGCAGTGTGTGTTATCCACGGCAGTGTGCATTATCCACAGCAGTGTGTGTTATCCACAGCAGTGTGTGTTATCCACAGCAGTGTGTGTTATCCACGGCAGTGTGTGTTATCCATGGCAGTGTGTGTTATCCACAGCAGTGTGTGTTATCCATGGCAGTGTGTGTTATCCATGGCAGTGTGTGTTATCCACAGCAGTGTGTGTTATCCACAGCAGTGTGTGTTATCCACAGCAGTGTGTGTTATCCACAGGAGTGTGTGTTATCCACAGCACTGTGTGTTATCCATGGCACTGTGTGTTATCCACAGCAGTGTGCATTATTCATGGCAGTGTGTGCTCTGTGTCTGTGCCCCATATCCCTGTCCCTGCGTGTGCTCCCTGTGTGTGCCCTGCTCCCTGTGCCACCCTTTCCCACAGGCTCTGGGTGTGCCCTTTCTGTGTCCAAAAGCAGCAGAAGGAGCCCCGCTAAATCCCCGTTTATTTTCCCACAGCGGACTGCGGGCCGCTGCCAAATATCAGCCACGCCGAGCCCCAGGGGGACACCAAAGAGCAGCAGAGCTTCAGTGTGGGCTCCACCGTGACCTTCAGCTGTGTCCCGGGTTACACCAAGCGCCCCTTTCTCTCCGACACCATCCAGTGCCTGACCAACTCCCGCTGGTCCAGCCTGCCAGAGTTCTGTGGCCGTGAGTGTTTCCCTTTCTCTGACACAAGGAGGGTGTGGGCTGCTTGTGGAAACACTCACAGCTTTGGCAGTTGCTGCCTCAGGGCTTTCCTCATCAACAGGATGAAGTGGTTGGGACACTTCTCTTGCTGCCCCTTTTTCCTACACTCCACCAAGGCTGTCGCCATGGGCTGGCACTTGAGTGTTGATGAAAAACAGAGGAACAGCTTGGGAAACACATGGAAAAGGGGAAGGACTGCAGGGACAGAGCACTGAGTGACCAAAGGGTTAATCACAGAGGGAGGTTTGGCTTCGGGGATTTGGAAACTTCTCCAGTGAGAAGTGGCTGCACTTTCCCACCTCAGACAATTCCCCGGTGGATGTGGCCAGGGAGGAGGGCACTGTTTGGAGTATCCATGTTCTCAGTGAGGCTCGTGCATTATCCCTCAGATTTATATTTACAGTTGAAAGCAAAATATTGTTATTTTTGCTCAGAATTATATTTACAGTTGAAAGCAAAACTCTGTTACTTTTGCTGTGTAACTGGACATTTTGGTTGTCCCTGTGCTGATCAGGCAGCTGTCCCAGGCCACCATCTGTGAAATTTGCTTTGTTATCACCGGAAGATCAAAGGCAGAATTTTTACGCTGTTAATACCACGGTAAGGTACATTTGTCACCCAAGTCATGAAAACACCACAGACCAGCCCCCCACCAGCACCTGTTTGGACAACTTAACGTGGACAGAAGTTCCTGAACTGTGTCAGAGTGAGTGTCTCCACGTAATTTCATTTTCTCCAAGGCTCTATTCCAAGTACCACATCTGTATTTTTAAATCGCTCTTTCCTAATTACATTTAACATGAAACCATGCCTGATTTGACGTTGCCATACTGCCATGAAAACTGAGTCTGTGGGGTTTTTCATTTAATTTTCAGTCTCATATTCTCCTAAGGACAATCTTACTCTTTTTTAGAGAAATCTTGTGGTATTCCAGCTGATCCAGAAAATGGGCAAGTTATGGCAAAAAATCATCAGCTGGGAGCAACAGCCAATGTGGTTTGTGACCGTGGGTGAGTGTGAAGCCACTGCCCACTGCACCCAGTTGCCTGGCCAGGGTCACTGGGGTGTAAACTGGGACATTCATGGGGCTCTGCCCATAGAGTCCTCAGCACCACTGTGGTGACACATCCTTGGTGACAACAAGCTGATTTTGGGATGTGCCTTTACCCCCGCAGGTACAGATTGGAGGGAGCGTCACCTTCCATCAGGTGTTTACTGCAGGAAGGCAAAGCTGTCTGGAGTCCTCTTCCAGTTTGTCAGGGTGAGTGAAGTTGTGCAGTGCTCGACTGGAACAACCAAATATTCCAGCTCAGACCACTGAACTTTTGGTTTACTTCACTAAGTGAAGTCAGGCCAGCATCTCTGCAAGGGGGGAGCTGCTGTCACAAAGCAGGACATCACTGGTTCCTCCTGCCTGTGAAGGCCTGACAGGAACAGTGTCCACCCAGGCTGCTGAGAGCATCCCAGGGGTCACCTTCTGAGTTCTTTTCTCTGTCTCCCACAGTGATTTCCTGTCCCCCTCCTCCAGCCATTGCTCACGGGCAGCACAGTGGGAACAGCTCGCAGGAGTTTGTGTTCGGCTCCATCACAACCTACACGTGTGAGCCGGGGCTGGAGCTGGTGGGACAGGACACCCTGCTCTGCACCACAGACAGCGGGGACAACGGCACCTGGAGCGGGGCCCCTCCCACCTGCCGGGGTGAGCATCATCCCCTCCTCACACCCATCCCCTCCTCACAATCATCCCCTTCCCCAGCACTCTGCTCCTGCTGGGCTGATAATTGCTCCTAACTCCATCCTGCGCGGGCATTCCGTAGGGTTTGCTTCCAGGGGAGCAGCATCTGCTCTGCAAGGTGCCAGGCTCTGCTGAGGAACACCAGGAGCAGAGCCAGACATGGTTTTACATTTTCCCTTCAAGAGGAACAGGCAGAAATGTAATGAAGAGGGTGTGAAATGTGTCAGTGACTGCAGAGCTGGTGGAGGGAACTTAGAAGGGATTTATGTCGCGTGTCCAACAACAGCCAGGCAATAAAGCCAGCTGTAACAGCAGAATCCCCTCTGTCCTTAATGCCTGGAGGGGCACAGAGGCCCCTGACACAACCTGAGCTGCACATTTCACCTGCCCATGTCATGTTTACTCCTCTCTGAACTATTTTATATATTATGTACAAGTTCAGCACCAGCTAAAATAACATTTTGAGCGCTTTTCCTTTGTCTCTCCCTAGTTAAAACCACAGCAGAGACAAACCAAACCAAAGCCTCAGAAGAGAATCCTTACTGGCTGGGTAAGAGCTCCATTACTTAGAAGTCCTGTTAATTGCTGTAATTGCATCACATTTTGGGCTTCATATTTTTAACATCCATTTCATTATTTTCCTCCCCAGCAAGCATCCTCATTCCAAGCTGCATTGGTAAGCAGCTTAAAATCCAAAATGTATTTTCCTACCCCAAAGCTGTTTGCTGTTAAAGACCTGAAGTCAAAGGTTGATCTCACTCTCCCTTTCCCTTCTTTGTCAGTTCCCCCAGTAGTCCTTGGACTTCTTGCTGGGGTCATCATGAGCCGGAAAGAGAGTGAAAAGCAGTAAGTGACTGTCCCTTGTAAATCGTGACTTTCCCTGGGGATAAGTGGATTTTTCTTTTCAAGCCCTGTATCTTCAGGATATTTGCATGGTTAGCAGGATTTTTCCATGTTGCTAAGTTTCTTTTTATTCTAAAAATTTCCTCCTTTCTGCCTCTTCAGCTCTTACAATGTGAATTTACAAAAGCGCGAGATGAAGGGAAGGGATGCAGCCATGCACCTGGAGGTTACAGATGAGAAGAAGCAGCTCAAGCCCTGGAATTCCTATTTTTGGTAGGTTTGCTCATTCACCTGCCCAAAAACTGGTGCCAGACTTCTGCCTATAGCCAGGGGTGTCACTGCTGCTGCGCTCACCTGTGCAGAACACCTTGGAGCAGGTTTTGACTTTCCCACACCACGATGAACACGCTGCTGTCCCGAGGGTGTTTCACAGAGGGTTTGGGTTTTGCTGGCTGCTCTCTGGATGGATTTCCCCCGTCTCTCTCATCCACAGCCACACAGGGAACTGCCACGTGTGCCCCAGCTGTGAGGAGCAGCTCCACGGTGACCTGGCCCCTCTCTCAGAGCCCACACGCCTCGGCTGCGCCGTCTGCCAGGACTGGCTGAGCTCCCAGCCCCAAAAACCCCGCACCTACTCGGTCCCCAGCGTCGGTGATGGGGACAGGCAGAGCCCAGCAGGCACCAGGTACAGCCCCCAACAGGAGCTCGCTCCTTCTCCCCTCCACACACCCCTGGGAGGCAAAACAATGGCAAAGGGGGAGGAAGCATCTTGATGTGGATAAAGTGAGTTTTGCAGCTGGAATTCCTGTGGTTCCTGTTTTAGCAGGAGCAGGGATTTGATATTTAGGGAACGGAGGCTGTGTCGGGCAGCTGGTGTTTTTGGAAAGCCACACGCTCAGGTTGTCCTCTCTCTGTGTTCAGCTCTCCTGTCAAAGCTGGGGATGTGCTGAGGGGAAATGGCACAGAAGAAGCTGCTCCGTGGTGGAGTGAGGCAGAGCAGCCCAGGGACCACCAAAGGTCAGTCTTCCACCTAAAAATACCCAGAAGCCACGGTGGGCCTGGACAAAAATCAGCAGATTTCATATCAGGGTAGAACTGTGTTTATCAGAGAATCCCAGAACGGTTTGGGGTGGAAGGGACCTCAAAACTCATCTCATTCCCAGCCCCTGCCATAGGCAGAGACACCTTCCACTATCCCAGGTTGTTCAAGCCCCAGAAACGTGGCCTGGAAGGCACAGCCATGCTCTCAGTGCACATCCTGAGTGGTTCTTCTCCACAGTGAGCACATCTGTCCCATCTGTGAGAGCTGGCTCCGTGCCCACACTGGCCAGGGTGGCAGCAGGGCTGTGGCACCGGGGGACTGGCAGGACGAGAGGTGAGTGTGGCCAGGGCAGGCAGCTCCTCTCAGCACTGCAGGGTGTGCCCAGTGCCCTCCAAACCGACAGCTCACTGCTTCACCTGAAACAAGAATAGGTGGGAGCTGGATGCTCCTGGCCCTGGGTTAGGGTGGGAGTGTGGTGCCATCAAGCAGAGATGTGAAAATGGGAGAGGTTTATTCAGATAATAAAAACACAGTGGGGTTTCTGTGGGTGCCTCTGGAGCAGCCTGTGCTCCTCAGCTGTGCTCACCTGGCTCAGCCTCGTGTTCTTTGGAGCTCTGCTTTTAAGAACCCGGCAGTGGGAGCCTCTTTTCACCACTGCCCAGTGCTTTTCCCTCCTGTGCCTGTGGGTCGTTTGCTCGTGGTGAGGAGGTTTTGGGCCAGAGCAGTGATAAGGTAAAACTGCTCAGTTTATTTATATTACTTATATAAATAATTTATATTTATATTTATATATTTATATATTTATATATTTATATATTTATATATTTATATATTTATATATTTATATATTTATATATTTATATATTTATATTTATATTTATATATTTCTATTTCTATTTCTATTTCTATTTCTATATTTATATATTTTTTATTTTTATATTTATATTTATATAATATTTATATTTATATTTATATTTATATTACCTATATAAAATATATTTATTTATATAACTGCTCATATTTATTTATTTACTTCCTGACCCTCTCCCATGCAAGTCTGGTGCTCTCTCAGGCCAGCAAAGCTTCCTTAACAGTCAAATTCTTATGAGAAACAAGATAAACACGGTTTGGCACGTGCATCTGCTTGCTTTGGCTTCAGGGAGTGGGAACTCCTCGCTGCTGCATTCGTTTCGGGGTTTTTCCATTTATTCCTGTGAGTGCCTGTGCCACTGGCTGTGAGCCCCAATCCTGGGGGAGCTGGTCCAGTTCTGCATTCTGGAATCATCGTTTATTTCAATTTCAAAAGGGAAGTTGTGAAGGAAAGCAGCTTTTGTGGGTGCTGGAGCCCGGGCAGGGTGGTTTGGAGAGGGGCAGGTCCTGTCAGGGCTCACCCTCACCTCTCTCCTCACAGCCCAGAGCTCCCCATCTGCCCTCCCTGCAGGGACTGGCAGCTCCTGTCCCTTGTCCACGGGGACACAGCCAGCAGCCCCGTGTGTCCCCTGGCCGGGGGGGACACCCTGAGCCACCTGGTCCCTGTGCAGAGCCCCGGCTGCCACGTCTGTCCCGTGTGCTCGGTGCCCAGCCACGCTCACCTGTGCAGCCCCCGCACCTGGCGGCCGCAGGTAGGACCCGAACGGGACCCCCCAAACACCCCGAGCTCCCTGGGGAGGGGAGGGGGCTCCACAAACCCTCCCCAGGCCCAGGGGCTCCCCCTGACCCCCTCCTGTTTCCCTCTGCAGGATAAAGCCAGGAGCTGAGGAGGGAGGGGAGCTCCAGCCCCATCCCTGGCGCTGGCAGGGCTTCGGTTCTCAGTGCAATAAAAGGACCTGAAATCAAAACTCCCACTCCACCTCAGCTGGCAACGAAGCAGAAAAAAACACTTTTATACCCACTTTTAATGCTCACTTCTTTGTTTATTTTTGTATGAAGAAAGTATTTTTGCAGCTCTTAAAGCGAGATGTTAAAAAGTCAGTAAACGTTTCTTTGAGCTGGGAAAAGAATTTAATCTTTGCACAATCTTATTTGTACTTCTTGAACTGCTTTATTTTTTAACTGAGGTTCTTGTCCTAGTGTGCAGATAAAAGTGCAAAATTTGTAGTATTTATAATAAAACTGTTTTATAAATAAAAGGAGTGTAAAATAAAGAATCCTGGCTCTGGGGTTAATTTTGTATTTGATTACTAATTAAATTAACTAATAATTGATAAATAATAAACGAATCAATTAGATTAATTCAATTTAATTTAAAATAAGTAAAATAAAAATTTAAAATAATTAATTATAAATTTATATTAAAATAATATAATATAAATATAATATAAATACATAATACATAATACATAATACATAATACATAATACATAATACATAATACATAATAATAATATAATATATAATATAATATATATAATATAATATATATAATGTAATATATATAATATATAATATATAATGTATAATATATAATATATAATTAATGATATATGATATATAATATATAATACATAATATATAATATATAATATATAATATATAATATATAATATATAATATATAATATATAATATATAATATATAATATATAATATATAATATATAATATAT